TCTTGATGCAATCAAATCCCTCTACTCATTTAGAGTAGTCCATCTACCAATGTATTTATTTTTCTAATGGTTTCTTTTCTCGCACTTCTCGGCTGTGGAACTCTCTTCCGGTTTCTTGTTCCCTGCCGCCTACAATCTTCAAAAATTTAAATGCAGCGCTAATCGCCATCTTCTGTCTACTTGAATACTGTTCTTTTCGCCTCACGAAAGTCTTCTGATTCTTTTTCACACCCAGGAACTCCTTGAATGTTAGTGGCATTATCGCCTTATTTGGGGGGAATTGATTGAAAAAAAAATTGCAATTTGCTCCTTGCCTTCAAAATCCATCAATATTATCTATTTATTTTTGTAATCATTCATAAACTAGCTGTTTATGATATCATAGGTAGGATATATTAAATACATCAAATATTTTTATTCAGTTTAATGATTACAGATATGGTGACAGCAAATTCTGGTGACAGGAACAAATAATCTTATAAAAGCCAAGCCAATGATATTTCTTGTTTGTTAGTAAAATGAAACAGGAGAGGAAAGGGTTAAACAAGAAGCTGTGTCTGTGTGTTCGCGTCTGCAGCTGGAAATATTTACTACTACTACTACTACTGCTACTTGTACCAATGTGACTGCTGCTGATGGTGTTAATTATGTGTTAGTAGTAGCACAGGGCGAGACAGGAGGATTTCTTTGGTAACAAAGGAAAAATACTGAGCTGTTACGTGACATCTGTTCTTCTTTACGGCAGCGAATGTTGGACGATTTCCTCAAAGATGAAGAAGAGACTCGAGGCGACGGAGATGTAGTTCTACAGAAGGATGGTAAGGATATCATGGACCGAGCATGTGAACAACGATGAGGTCCAGGAGAGGATGCAAACAAGGAGAAAGCTTATATTGAAGGCTGGAGGTTCTGGGACGCATAATGAGGAAGAAGGGCTTGGAGAATCTGATACTCACGGGCCGAATAGAGGGAAAGAGAGACAAGGAAAAGCAGCGTGTGACATTCATGGGGTACTTGAGCAGGTGGCTTCTTGGCTTTAATCCCTGTCAATGTTATATATCTAAGGTGTACTATTTATCTAAAATCATTACTTTTTTGTAAGCATTTCATCTCAAGCAAGGACACTAGTGCGCTAGGGTTTACAGAGAGTGAAGGTAAGAAAAAAGACTGGGTATAGCAGAGATTGAGGAAAGAATAAAAAAAGAACGGGGATCATGGCATCAGAAATTGACGATTGACGTTTCATTTAAATTTTTGAAGATTATAGTTATCGGGAAAGCAAGTAAGAGGAAGGGAGTTCCACTGTTAGGAAGTGCAAGAGAAGAAACTGTTGGAGTAGAAGAGGCGGTTACATTTAACTGACTCGACAGTAAAAGTGTGGGACCGAGATGCCAACCTAGTAGCACGCTTAAATTTATGCAGTCGGGGCATCAAGGAAAATAGCTCGTCAGAGGAAAGCCATCTTACGTCGGTGAGAAAGTGACTGGAGTCGAGATGCCATGTCAGGACCGATCACATTGCATATTGGATTTTGTCGAGAACCTAGAGATGAACAGCGAGGGCACCAGACCATATACGGGCTCGGGAAACCCACCTTAAATTCGGCCTTGTGCCATATGCAACCCTCGTTGGGGGGGGGTTAGATACCAGACCATATATGGCAACAGTATTCCATACATGGACGAATGGTAGATTTGTAGATTTAAAGGATGGTCTCAGACTAGAAAAACCTTCTGGCATGATACAAAGAACCAACTTTCCTTGCAATAGATGCAGCTATTGATTCAATGTAGTTTTTCTACCTTATGTCAGTGGAGAACGTGAGGCCAAGAAGACGCAGTGAGGCGCTCTCGGGAAGTCGAACATCAACCATCCTGATAGGGCACAGGGAAGTTTCTCTATGGTGGCTAAATGGAGAGCAGTTTCATTTTGGAGGCATTAAAGTTTACAAACCATTTCCTGTCCCAATCAACCTCTAATTCGAAGTCTTTTTCGATACGAACGTCCAGGTTAATTTTGTCAACATTGCCGGATTTACTATTGAGACAGGAGTAAATGGTAGTGTCGTCTGCATAGATTTCTACTTGAGAATTGATGACATCAGAAAGATCATTGATGAATATCAGAAACAGTGTAGGACCCAGGATAGAGCCTTGGATGAAAGGAACTGGAAGAGAACCTGTTCAGGACGACCTTCATTTCCCGATTTGATAAGAATGTATGGATTAAATCATATAATCGTCTTGTAATATCGTAGCCCTGAAGCTTACGTAGAAGGTTCGCATGAAAAACCCTGTCAATCGCCTTAGAGATATCTAGAGCCACAGCTCGAGTTTCGCCGGTATTATCAAGAGCTTGGTATACAAATTCAGTTATGGCCGTAAGCACGTCAGCGGTAGACCGGGCAAAATGGAAACCATATTGTTTGTCAGAAGAAGTGATTCCTGTGGGCTATAGCGGCTGAGCAAGCAGATGAGAACCAAGAAGTTGAGGGCGATTTAACTTACTATTTCCTCGCTGGGAATAGCCAGGTATTGAACTCAGAACTCTTTGGGTCAAGTCATCGGATCCAGCGCACGCTTTTATTCACTGAGCCCTTGAGGATCCAGTAACTTGATCCAAAGAGTTGTGAGTTCAATACCTGGCTACTGCAGTGGTGAAAAAAATACTTGGAGAGTTGATTTAAAGGGAGACAACTGAGACATCCGGAAGAGGCATAGCACGTGGAACTAGAACAATCTACCCACCCCGGCCGGTGAAATAAAGGGTTCAGTTCGATTTATCAATCACCTAAAGAAGGCCAGGGCTTACAACGTCGGAAACATTGTATTTATTTTCAATTTTTCTGGTTGAATTGCACACCTATATTGCATATGATACACTATTTTAGGTTACAATAAAATTTGTATTTTATATCAATACTACCTTATGAAAATTGAGATGTAATAAAGTGGGAGATCGCCGTATCATAGATTTTAGTGGGTGCGTGCCATAGATTCGAGGGGAGGGACGGAGACACTTTCAACTGCCCTGTTCAATTCTTCAGCTTCCTTACTATTCTTACTACTGACCCACATACTTTACTAATACTCCACCATTTCCTCGTTTATTTGTAATTATTTTTTGAACTAGCAACCTAAAGGTTTTATGGAAATAACGATAAAATGGTTTTACCGCCAAATATTGCACTATTTACCTAAATATTTTCGTAAATTTCAATCCTCAGTTTGTTGGGTACAAATCTTGAAAAACAGAATTATTTTATGCAGTGTAACCCGGATATAAGAGACCCGGATATAAGAGAAACCCGGATATAAGAGAGATTGTCTCTGGTGCCAAATTAGAGCCTGTGTTAATGTATATATAATAGACCAAACCCGGATATAAGAGACTTCTTCTCCGGTCCCGACAACTCTCTTATATCCGGGTTAGACTGTATGTATATATATATATATATATATATATATATATATATATATATATATATATATATATATACAGTGTAACCTGGATATAAGAAGACCTGGATATAAGAGAGATTTTCTCTGGTCCCAAATTAGAGCCTGTGTTAATGTATATAAAATAGACCAAACCCGGATATAAGAGAAACCCGGATATAAGAGACTTCTTCTCCTGTCCCGACAACTCTCTTATATCCGGGTTACACACTGTATTATTAATATTATATTATGTACCTCCAAAAGAAAACGATTATCTAAGTTTAAACCGCAGTTAAAAAATGAAAATTTTTTTTAACTTAATTTTAGTTTTAATTCAAGCTAATAGATTCAATTCAATATTTTCAATAAGCAAAATATTTAGGTATATTCGGTCGAGTTAGCTCAGACATTCATAAGTCAATCATGCCAACCACTGCAGTCCTGCATCAAGGTCAGGTCATCGGGGAGGCATTCTATGTCATGCCTGGTCAATGTATGTGGTTGCTGGGTGAGCAACTTGTCTTGCTCCATGACTAGATAGCCAGCGAAATACTTTGGTGTATTTCAAACCGAATTTAAATTTGTTGGAAGGTTTTCTGCTTAAAATAAATAATAAATTTGTTCAAAATATTTTTATTAAATATAGATGTCCATAAACGAAATTATCAGACAATAAGAGAGGTTCCTATAAATTAAGAATTTATTGATAATTTTCTAACATTTCCTCAACAAATGTCTTAGAAATTAAAACTATAAAAAGAAACTCCTAAAATTTAATAAAATATTAAATTGCTTAAAAAAGATTATGTACTTATGGGTTTATTATCGCTTCGTTTTAAAACGCGTTTCTTGTGGGATTATCTGTTGCCGCCTTTTTAAAATCTGTTTCTTGTGAGTATATGTTGCCGGCTTTTTAAAATGCGTTACTTGTGGGGCCAATTTGTGATCTTTTATAAATTAGATGTGGTATTTACAATGTTTTTTAATTAATCGTTTTTTTCTATTCTTTTTTCAGACTGCTAAATGAATCTTTGGGACAGTATATTTTTACACATCTGTACTTGTGAAAAAGTTGGAAAATTCATTTAAAAAGGCGGTGACAGATAATCCCACAAGAAACGCTTTTTAAAAAGGCAGCGACAGATAATCCCACGAGAAACGCATTTTAAAAAGGCAGCGACAGATAATCCCACAAGAAACGCTTTTTAAAAAGGCAGCGACAGATAATCCCACAAAAACGCTTTTAAAAAGGCAGCGACAGATAATCCCACAAGAAACGCATTTTAAAAAGGCAGCGACAGATAATCCCACAAGAAACGCATTTTAAAAAGGCAGCGACAGATAATCCCACAAGAAACGCATTTTAAAAAGGCAGCGACAGATAATCCCACAAGTACTAAAAATTATAATATTCTCATTCTGCCTGTCTGTTTCTTTTCTAGCATATTCTCCATTTTCCTTGTCAGTTGTGATAATCTACACTTTCTTCCCTCGTCTTTTTAACCGCGATCTTTTTTAGTTTTCATCCTTATCGACCCTTTCACATTCTTCTATTTACAGTTTTTCATCATCCCAAATATTCTTCTTCTTCTTCTTCTTCTTCTTCTTCTTCTTCTTCTTCTTCTTCTTCCGCCATTTTCTTCACCACCCTCTCCTATTTTCACGGATGACCCTTGTTTCAGGGCCTTTTTCATCGCATTAACTCTGATTTCGTTTACCTTTTCACGACCCCCACCTCGTCAAAAAGCAACGACCCGATTCTTTCTTCCGTGTTCTCCTCTACTGCTTTATACTCCCCTACAAAAAAAAAAACTAGTCTGTAAACCAGCAGACAGGCCAAGTCATCGACCATCTGGAGGCATTCTCAGGTTTCTTTATAACCTTTTCCTTTGTACACAAAGTGCTTAGTCCCGACAGACGACCGCGTCGACTTGCCATTCAATTTTAATCCCGGACAAATTTTTCTAACCCGTGTCTGAAATAAGCGGACATGTTTACACTACATAAAGGAATTGATATTTCCTGTTCGCTTAAAAAATAAAGAAAAAAAATACTGTAGATAATGCTATTTGAATTTGATCGTTTTCGAATATACCTGCCTGCTGAAACTGCTAGCCAATCTGTTGCAAAGACGCCTACTGAGACATATTTGATGTTTGTTCAACACCAGGAGAGTCAACCTATGGTTTATACTGCAACTATGCTGAGCGGTTTCCGGGAGAGAACGCATAATCTGGCGTGATCATCAGTTTGAACAAGGCCAGTACTCTCACACTCTCGGTCACTATGACTTGTATCTTCGCGCTAGCACAGTCATCGATGGAACGGTTCCGTCTATTCAATTACACTCACAAGGCTTGGGTCAAGCCGTGGTATGGTTTTCGGGTACTTAACAAAGGTGCCGCGCGCTAGGATCGCCTTCCAACGTCGATATTATCAAGTCCTGACAAAGCAGCCAAGGTGAGATTCGAACTCGGGTCTCGTGGCCACAAAACGAACGTTTTAAGCACTCGGTCACACGCCCAGATTGTGAGTTTTTAAGGCACGACTAAACAATTTCAACTTGAAGGCGTTATTAAATAATCTTCGTCGCATTTTCAAATTTTTATTTTTATTTTTTACATATTTCGCTAAATATTTTCTTTTCATTTTTTTAAATATAATTTTTTTTCTTTTTCACTGAAAGATATACTGCAATTATTAATTTTTCTTTTTTAGGTTCAATTTTAGAGACGAAAACAGTGCCTGATTCGTTAAAAAGTACCTAAATGAAATGAATAAATACTAGACTTTTGAAAGTATTTAATTTTTAAGAATTACTTTATAGTCAAATAAGCTGGTTCCCTTAAAAATTAAAAAAATACTGTCATTTCTGCCCTTCCGTCCGACAAATTTCCCAAACGTCATTTGTCGATACATTGACGTAAACGTCAATTCACACCACCCAAACCAATCATCACGATGAGACAAGCTTCTCTTATTTCCAACTAATTTTTCTACTAAAAAATTAACTAATGTTTGTTTCAAATTACATTAAGTATACTTTAAATTTTCTAATTTTCCTAAAGTAACTTTTGAAAAAAAGTGTAATTGAATTTTACAAGATTTTTAAACGGAGATATTAACTTTTGTTTATAAAACTGTCAATAATAGCGGACATAATTGATTTTACGTCAATTTTGATGACTCACCCCCCCCAAAAAAAAAAACAAGATTTTTAGCTAAAATTTCGGATTAAAAATATTCAAAATATTCAAAAAATACTTTGGTCTTTCCTTTTAATAATAACATAAACATTTAGACGATAAAAAATTGTTTAATCAAGTTTAGAACCTTTTTTCCTCAGGGTATGCTCTTTTTTAGCGAAGTATTGACCATACCTACTTAAGAGATCATAAGTCACCATATTTTATATGGTTCTATGCTGAGGATACCATAAAGCGAACATGTGAGCAACGACGAGATTTTAGAGAAAATGGAGACAAAAAGGAAGCTTATATTTAACGTCAGGAAGAGACAGTTGAAATTTCTAGGGCACATAATGAGGAAAGGAGGTTTGGAAAATCTGAGACTCACAAGACAGATTGAAGGCAAGATGGATAGATGAAAACAACGCATAACATAGTGAATTTGAGTAAATGGATGGCGGAACAGGGTTTAGGAGAAATAAAGAAAAGACAAAATTTATTAAGAGCTAGAAAGGGAAGACATTATGGAGAATCATGATCGCCTACGCCTTGTGGGGGACACGGCACATAAAGAAGAAGACTATCTGTGAAATGACAACTTATTGGGAAAGCATTTTCTCGTTGCTCTCCAAACTGTTTTGAATTCAGAATTGACCTTCAACTTGACGGTTTGCCGACCAGGTAAAGAAAATAAAATCCGTTATTGTTGGATGCGTCTTATATGCAAGTTCGTCTTATAGACTGGAAAAATAAAGTAATTAATAAAGAAAACGAATTTCTTTTTCTTTTCTTTTTTTTTTTTTACATGTCTGTTGAGGGCGTAGGCGATCATGGCTCCACGTATAATTTCTTACTTTAAGTATAATTGCTATGTTTCATGCTGCTTTTCCTACGGTTAGGAATTCAGAATTGATCATCTCCTCGATTGGTTGCCGCTCAGGCCAAAAGAACCCAATCTACTCTGCTATTAATCTCGTTTTAGATGTGTCCTATATGCAGGTGGGTAGTATATGCTTGAAAAATACGGTGACATAACAATGAATTGATTGGTTTCTTGTTTTTTTATGCCGTGTCCTTTAGACGATTTTGCTTCTCCATATTTGTCTCTTTTCTTGACCATGACTTTTTAAGAAAGAAGTTGCTCGTTGCTTTCTCCATGCTTTTTAATTCAAAATTAACCTTCTCCTAGACTGGTGTCTGTCCATGCCTTGAGAATCAATCTACTATTGTCTCTACCATCGTACGGCAACCGGTGTTTCAACGAGATACGGTTGTAAGCCCTACAGAGTTTAATCATCTTTTATATAATAAAACAAATTATAAAATACATGCAGACAATCGACTAGGCTTACGGGCATATCACGTTGAAACGAAGTTAAGCAACGCCGAGCTTGGTCACTACAGAGATGGTTGAATGCTTATGAATGTCAGGTTTTAGATAAATATCACTTTTTGGATACGTATCACAAATAAAGTTTATATAATAGGAGTAGATAGGTTCGCCTGTCGTCCGGTTCGCACTCCCCCTCGGTCTTTTGAACAGGAGTAGAGGTTTATGAGTTGTTTTCTGTTTAGGATTGGGTTTCCAGTTCCTTTTAAAGTCTACTTAAACTCTTTATTTCTAACGTCTCTGCCTAAACTCTGAAATTTTATTTCCTTTTTTTCCCCTTCAATAGGGGTAGATAGGTTCGCCTATCACCCGGTTCGCACTCCTCCTTTTTCTTTTGAACAGGAGTAGAGGTTTATGACTTGTTTCCTGTTTGGGATTGGATTTCCGGTTCCTTCTAAAGACTACTTCCAAATTAAACATCTAACATCTCCGCCTGAACTCTGAAATTATATTCACTGATTAAATCTTGACCACTTCGAGTCTAGAGTTAGCCCTTATCTTTCCTGCATACGACACCACACAGTAAGTCTCTACCTTGAGAGGCTCTTGAGCCTTGTTTGAGTGAACGTTAGTAAAAAAAAAAATATCTTAATTTTTGGATACATATCACAAATAATGTTTATTTCATATTTTTATTCGTTCTTTGTTCCGACAAATAGCACGAAGATTTTGACTATAAAATTCGTTTTTATAAAAGTTTATTTTTTGTCAGGTGTGGATTACGTGCAGAAAATTTAGATCTATATTTAAAACACCCTCAATACCCAACTCAAAACTCTATTTTTACTATAATTACCCAGAGTTTAAGAACCGCTGGACGTATCGTTCTTTTTTGTTGTTTTTGTGACTCGAGCGTTAAAATGAACTCGAAATATGGTGAGTGAAAATCAATAATTCGAGAAAACAAGAATAATTGCGTCACATATATATCGAAGATATATCGACAGAGTAAATGTTATCAGATTTGGGAAAAATTATATTTTTTATTGTTCGTGGATATTATGACAGACAGACTGGGTTAGTCATAAATTATCTGAAATATGTCTTCCATTTTCATGTCAACACACAAAAAAATACAAGAAACGTACAATTATGGAGCGTAGTGAAAATATTATTGAATTATTCCCATTCTATGGAATAAATATTTACCACAGTACCATCGGTATGTGGCATAATTCATATTGTATGTAAATGTCATATAATCCTGGTTGTTTCACCGTGAGTTTGTTAGTTACATAACTCATGCCTTGTGCCCTATAATAATTTATATTCCCTGCCCACGATTTCTTGGTATAGCAGCAGCGAACAGTTTAAATCCCTAACCCTTTTGTTTACTTTCGGCTAGCCTCACTTTGGAGTAAAGCAATTAACTCACCTTGAAGCTTTATATATGCGTTGCTAGGAATAAAGGTATAAAGACAAGTCCAGTGGTGAGTACCTATTTATTTCACGCCTTTCTATTACCTCAGATAACTACCGTTTTGCCTGCCCGGGAAGATGGAAGAAAAATACGCTTTTTGGTTTTAGTGATAAAAACGAAAACATGCATAATAGTAATAAGAAAGAAAGAAAGAAAAAAAGAAAGAAAGAAAGGGAAGATAGAGGAGGCGATGATACTCTCATGCGTTATCGTGTGCTTCAGTGAAATGGAAAACCTCGTTTCCCAAAACGGAAAGTTATTCTTGAATTCGCTGTGTACGCTGCCACTGCCGTAAGATATGTTAGTGTACTTCAAATTTATTCGTAATTACCACGCATGATTAGTACTTAGATACATTCGTCATTATAATTAGTTCCTAAAAACAGAAATTACTTATGATTCAAACTATTAAATAAATCTGTATTATTATTCTGTTCAGAGTTTATTTCAAAATTTAAAATCGAACACAAATTCTTACTACGCTACATACAACCACATTATGAATCAAAATATTAAACACAATCCCATAATATTAAGTGACTAAAATTAATTTAAAATAACAAAATTTAAAAATAAAAAAATATACATAACGACTAAATAGATGAAAAATATAAACAAATAAAATAGTACATTTTAAATAAGCAAACCAAAGTTCCTAATTAAAAAATAAATTCAGTCAAGTTCCATACGTGATACACGCTTGGGCGATCATATCACTTTCGATTAATAACTGACTAGGCAGAGATTTTCCCGCAATAGGTTGCCATTGCTTTCTAAGGTAGACTGGTTGCTAACCAAAGCTATAGGAACCAGTCTGTCCTTCTATTTAACGCATTGCCGAGAGGAGAAGAGACCTAAAACAAAAGAATTGGTAAAAGTGGTTTCACACCTTCATCGACTTCTCTTTATC